CTCTTAGCAGTCACCCTCTTCCCTGGCACCTTATACTGCAGGGAGTCTCGCTAACTTCACATTACCTCAGTCTCTAGTTTTTTTTTTTTTCCTTTTTTTAGTTGAATTTATTGGTACATTTTAGGGATCCAGTACAGTTACATTCATTACTGGGACCTTGTACCTTTACATGACAGGTCTTGGTTCTCATTTTTCCCCTTGTCCCTGCCCTCCCTTCATATACCTTTGTAACTTTGAAGTCTACCTTACTTTGTTCCTCTTTCTTTTGAATTGCTGTGACTCTTTTTCAGGTCACATATTGTAGTGAGAGATTTCATCCATATACATAGTTTCAGTCATTGCCTCTACCTATTACAAGTCCTGTATTAATGTTCAGTTTACTTAAGTGCCACTATTTCAGATTTAAAAGCAAACTTCCTCATATTCATGGTTACTGTACCAGTAACTGTCAGTGGCATCTGACAGAGACTTTTGATTACTTCCTTAGAACTATTCAATCTGAATCTGCATATTGGCAAGATTCTCAGATGTTTACATCTATTAAGTTTCAAAAGTAGCAATCTACTTGATTTTTCTTCCAAAGAAATCTCAAACTGAACGTGTTAAAAATGGGATAACTCCTCACTTTTAATTCATTTATTAATTCAGTAACTTTTTATTAGTCTCTGCCACTACCACTACTCTAGCTTCTGTAGCAGTGAATCTTAGCAAAAGAAACCAAAACATCGCTGTCTCCTTAAACCTTTTACTCTAGACTGAGGAGGCAGATAAGAAGCAGCAAACACAGGCAAAAACAGTACATAAATATTACACGGTAGGTAGGAAAGTGATGTGTGTCATAGAAAGGTGGAAGCATTGGACAAGATAAACACAATCATAAGTGTAGCATTGGAAATCTAGACGGTACTATTTCTCTTTGTTTCCCTCACTTAAAAAAAAAATCTCAGCCGGGGATGGTGGCACATGCCTGTAATCCCAGCACTCAGGAGGCTGAGGCAGGAGGATCGCTGGGAGTTCCAGACCAGCCTGGGCTACACAGTGAGTTCCAGGTCAGACTCAACTACATAGTGAGACCCTGTCTCAAAAAAACCAAAAAAAAAAAAAAATCTCAATGTGTGATCTCAGTAACCATAAAGGGCATTTCAATGCATAATAAATTACTTTCCCTGTATATTCTGGATTTCTACTTTTTAGCAAAATATTTATTGTTACATTTTATATATACATAATGATAGCATTCATCATAGGGAATTTATACTTGTGTATGCTATATCTTGCTACTTTTTTCCTCCATTCTCCCTCTTTATGTAAAAAAAAAACTTCCATTTTTCCTTCAATTTTCTTTTTTTTCCTTGTCCTTCTTTCCTATTCCTTTCCTCTTCCTTTATTCCCCTTCTCATTTGAACATTTTCTTCCCATTTCCCAATGTTGGTTTATGTTTTAGTCCTTATTTCCACTTTCGGTTTCTCACGCTAGAGAAACAATGAAGTATTTAAATGTGTGTGTTTGGTTGATTTCAGTTAAGAGTATGGCCTCAAGGTGCATCCATTTAGCTATAAATATTCCAGGCTCATCCTTATTTATGGTAGAGTAGTATTCCACTGCATAAAAAGTCACATCTTCACCCATTTGTCCGTTGATGGACATTTAGGCCGTTTCCAAGATTTAGCTATTACGAATTGTGCCTCTATAAACATCAGTGCACATATCACTGAGATACGATGCTTTTAATTCTTTCAGGAACAAACCAAGAAGGGGAATAGCTGGATCAAATAGAACTTCCAGGTTCTTTGGGGAATCTCCACACTGATGTCTACAGTGGTTGCACCAGTCTGCACTCTCACCAGAGAAGGGGTCCTTTTACTCTACAGTCCCTCCAGCCTTTGTTATTGGTTGATTTCTTGATAGCAGCCAATCTTTGTGGAGTGAGATGGAATCTCAGTGTTGTTTCAGTTTGCATCTCTTCAACTACCAGTGATGTTGAACATTGTTTTCATATATTTCTTTGCTGTTTCTATTTTTTCAACTGAGAATTGTCTATTCATTTCAGATGCCCATTTTTTGGATTGGGTCTTTAAATCTAAAGGAAGGGTCTGATTTTTTGGTGCTTTTTATTTATTTTTGTTTTGTTTTGTTTTTTTGTTTTTTGGTATTTTTGATACATGGTCTCACTGTGTAGTTGAGACTGACCTAGAATTCACTATGTAGCTCAGGCTGGTCTTGAGCTCACAGTGATCCTCCTGCCTCAGCCTCCTGAGTGCTGAGATTACAGGCGTGCGCCACCACACCCAACTTGGTGTTTTTTTAATATATATTCTAGATATTAATTCTTTATCTGAAGAACAGCTGGCATACTGGTGGGTTGTCTTTTCACTCTGTTGGTGGTTTCTGTTTCTGTGCAAAAGCTTTTTAACAAAGATGATTCTTTGTGATAGTTCCTGTGCAACTGAGGTTTTGTTCATAAAATCTTTGCCTACCTACACAAATGTCTTTGAGAATTCTGCCTATTCTATCTTCTAGAAAATTAAATGTTTCTGTTTTAATATTTAGATCTTTGATCCATTTCAATTTTAATTTAGTTATGGTGAAAGTTAGGGTCTAGTGTTAATCTTCAACAAGTGGAAATCCAGTTTTTCTAGCTCTACTACTTGAAGGCTTTTTTTTCTTTTTCAGTGAAGGGGTTTGGCTCCTTGTCAAAGATAAGGTAGCTGAGGATATCTTGAGTTGTTTCTACATCTTCAAATATGTTCCACTGATCCTCAAGTGTAATTTTAAAGAAATGTATCATTGGTGCTTGGTTCAGCAGCATATTTAGTAAAAGGTATATCAACATTCATGATATCTCTTGTCAGGTTTTTTTCATCTAGATTGCCAGTTTTTCTTTTTTAAATTTTGGTCATAACCTCCAGGTGACTCACTGTTTTTCTCTTTCCACATTGCTGCCATAAAAACAGTGTCACTTGCTGGAAACTTTCAATGTCTCCGATTGCCTTCTCAATAAAACTGAATTATTTTATGATCATCAATAAGCCTGTGTACAATTTTGCTTGTTTCCTTTTTATCATGATTCAGTTGCATAAGAACTCCTCCGAACTGTGTACTTTCCTTTTATTTTTTTTCCCATACTGTTTTGTTTATTTTTTATAGAACACTAAAGTGTTCATTGATTTGCAGATATTTCCTGACTCCTTTGCTATCTTCAAATGTGAACATTAAACGTTGTTTAATTACTGAAGGTAACGTAAGAACTGGTAGTTAGTTGTCCATGTACTTTGTGCGCCTGTAGCCATCAAGGAAGGACTTATTTATAGTACAGAAAACTGACTTAAAGTAGTACATATGAAATATAATTCTGTGATAACAAAACAGACTCTTTTTAAAACTGATCATAAGTTAGCGTTGAGTAGATTTATGCTTCTTAAAGTCATTTTGTGATCACTTGTCTGGTAACATTTTGCAAAATTCAAATAGTTGCTGTGATAACTTCTGATTCTGTGATGATATAATTTCTGATGTTAAATTTTTGAAAATCATTTACCCATCAACTCTGATAGTTTCTGCAAATAGTTTTTTAAAACCAGTAAGATAAGTTGACAGTGTGAAATAGGAAGAAAAGAGCTAAAGGTGTAGGGAAAGTGGGAAGAGTACGGGAACGGGAATAAGGGAAAAGAAAAAAAAATATGAGAAAATGAAAAAATGGAAATAAAATGTTTGTAAATGGGGAGGGGAGGAGGGGTGAAGGGAGGGCAGGGACAAGGGGGAAACATGAGAACCAAGACCTGTCATGCACAGGTACAAGATCCCAATGATGAATGTAACTGTACTATATACCTAGAATGTACCAATAAACTCAATGAGAGAGAAAAAAATAGTAAGAGAAATTTAAAATTATGCAATTGATCAAAAGTGCTGTCAAAATCAAATTTAATTTTTTAAAAATTTTGTGACTCCAGCTATAATTTAGTGTTACTCCTCTTGATATCATTTTTAAAGAAATCATGTATTTTTTAATTTCAGTAGAGAGTATGATTTCATAATTGGTACATTTCTACTGCTCTTCCCATGAATTTGTCAAAGTTGCTTTCCTTCTGACATCTTCATCTCCTGTTCCTCTCTTCTACTCTAGAAGGAATCTCTTCTGCATCAATCTAGGTTTTTTCATTTATTTTCCTTGAAAATTTATTTATATAAAAAAATCGGAACCAAAGTTTTTAGGATCTAATATTTCAAAATGCTGAAATATAAGTTCTTTGTGCATCAAACCCTTGGTTTGAAAGCTCAAAAGTCTTGGTCCATTAAGTTAAAAGTCCCCAAAGTCACATTTTTATTTAATTTCCTCTCCCATAATTAATAGGTGGAGGGGAATAGTGGGAGAAGAAGGCCTGAGTCCATTCTGTCAGTATTCTTTCATCCAAGTACTTTTATTTTCACTCTCAGAAATATCTAGATATTGGGGCCTAGGGTCACAGTTACTAAAGATAGAAGACTTTATGTTTTTAGATACCAAAGAGAGAGCAGATAGGAAAACAACCCACGTCTACTAAACAGAAGTCAAGTAGTTAACATGTTGTAAACCTCTGACATTTTCTATGTGGAAAAGACAATAATTAGTGAGATTTATATGCCAGCAGTAGTGAGGATGTTGGTGAGGCTAAATGAAGTGGCGTGTGTGTGTGTGTGTGTGTGTGCGTGTGTGTGTGTGCGTGTGTGTGTGTGCGTGTGCGCGCACGTGCACTGGTACATACTATTCGCAACCTTTTGAAGCTGGAATTCTAAAAGATTCATACCCAGTGAAAACATTTATTCAAGGCAATGCATTTGAGTGTGAACATTTGAAGTGATAATTTATTTTTATTGATAGAAAAGTTCTCTAAAATACATGAAGATAAGTATAGAGAAAAAATGTTGCATTTTTCAGCATTATAAGCAGAGTATTCCATTCAGGTTGAGCTTTGCTATGGAATTCTGATTTTAATCAATTTCTTTGCTCTTTCATGCAGAGATTTTATCAACAGCCTCCGATTGTACAGGTCATTCTACGGTGGCCTGGCTGATCAGCTTTGCGTTAATGACCTGGCTGCTGCTGCTGGACTGCCCTGCTGGGATGGAGAAGATCTGGCACGAAGGTATTCTGTCTGTCCTAATCTGAAAACCCAGTAACAACTGTTCATCTTTCCTTTATTTTCCTGACTCTTGGATGGATTACTTAAATTTTAATTTTGCTAGTCAAGTTAGAGATGAATTCCTTCTCTTTAGTTTTCTGTGAAAAAAAAAACTGATTCTTTTTGACATTAAAAAATAAAATAACCTTTCCCTTCCCTTCTCTCCCGTCTCCTCCCCTCTCCTCCTTCACTTTTCTCTCTCTCCTTTCTTCCTTCTTAAAACTGATTGTATTCTCAAGTAATCTCTTAGGCTTGAAAAAGTCATAAATTCACCCTCTGTACTCAATAAAAGTGATTGGCAGTCTGTCCCATGACGTGCCTCTACTGGTGATTATTATAGGATGTAGGACAATAAGGCTTTCTGTTTGGATTTGAAGTTTTAAATCATGAGCTACATTTTTTTATTTACTTCAATGTTTTAATTTGAATTCATTGCAAAATAGACTTTGAATTTGAGTCTGTTAAAAAATACGTCATATTTTGAACAGTCTGCTAAAAGGTAAAAAAGGGTATTATACTTTCTTACTTATAAACACTACTCCAGATGAATACAGATGGTTTAGTTATCACAAATTGATGAGTTCCCTGAAAATATTATTTAGAAATTTTAACTTTACTATGATAACTTTCACTTTACTATGGTAAATATGTACTATAATAGGTATTTATATAACATTTTTTATACAAAGCTCTTTCATATTTCTGTATGATCATATTCATTATAAATAAGTCATATTATTGAAATAATACAATTATCTTGTAGTTAATATATGAATATCTCATAGGTTATTATTGAACTTCACAGAAAAAGATTATTGGAGGCAAGAACTATAGTTAAATTTAAATAAAATATTTGGCCAAATGGCTAGTACTCTTTCTTTATTATGTTCCTTGGAGTGTGGGGTATAAGAAATTTATGAATATATCTCTGGATTTCGCTGAAAGTGGTCATAGCATGTATGTATGGTACTTTAATGTCTTAAAGTAGTTGCATCAACTTCCTAAAACCTAGTAACTATTATCTTGACTTAAAATTTTACTTTGCCTTTGTTCAAATTGCATTTTTTGTGTACCACTGATTTTTCCTCAAAAATTCATGAGAATTCCATGGTGATTAATAAAAAGTTTAGCATACAATATAAATATATTACATTATGTTATCTTCTAAATATATAGTTGTGAGAGTCTTAGTTTCTATTCATCATGTTCTTTCCTTGACTAGTTGGTGTAACTGTGTAATAGGAAATAGTATTAGAGAAATAAATAATTTGAGAAAAATTTTAGAGGAATAATGTTTTAAATTCAAAGAATATACTTTCTCCTGAAGAAGTATATATATTTTAAGAGCTCATTTATGGCTTATGAATAAAGAGAGTACATCTTTAGCAACAAGTTTCCCTGAGAAGCGTCTCCATTTCTGAGAAGCAAACTGAGTGATTTTTAGTTTTCTTGCCTGTTTCCTTTTCTTCTACCACCAGGTCTCCCAGGATTAGCCACTTCCAAGGGCACAGAGGTTCTAGTCTTCTGTGAAAAAGTTTCACTTTGCCTCTCTCTGCTTTTAAATAATAATTTCTAATCTCCAAATGTCATTGGACATTTTTGTCTGCCTCCAGTGTATTGTATTTTACACTTTCATTCCATCCCTGATCCCTGGCTTGCAGGCCAGGTGACAAGCTCATACACTTTAGCTGGCTACCACCATTGGGCTGGTGAACACGTTTTCCAAAATGAACATGTTTTAGCCCTAATTATTTTGTAGTAGAGATCTAAGTGCTTCATGGGCAACATTTCATTTCATTATTCCAGACCTCATTCCTTAATAGTGTAAAGTCTATTAGGCTGTATTTATGTTCCATTTGATGTTAAAAATAGCTCTCATGTGTACATTGACTTTAAAAAATAATTTAAACTTCAATCCATTATGACTAAGTCAATTTTTGATGTGAATTTAAAATGCGATCTTTTTTTCACTGCAAAGTCAATACTATAATCTAAATACCTATGAAATCTGATGGACTTATTGTGCTGTATTCAGCATGCAATATTATGTGGCAATAAAAATCATATTTATATCTGCTACTGTAGAATGATTTTAAGTTATTGTTATGTATGTAAAAAGTAGTTATAACAAAAATAATGTATACTTAACCAACATATTGAATAAGTAAAATAGATACTAAAATTTTTTCTTTCTTTTGTTTTTGGTACCAGGGGCTCAAACTCGTGTCCTTATGCTTGCCAAGCAGATGCTGAAACCACTGAGCTAAATCCCCATCCCCTAAAGCTTTTTCTACATAGAATATTTCTGGAAGGTTGCAGAGAGATTGTTAATATGCCCAATTTTAGAAAAAATTACTAAGAGGAGAACATTTTATAAACTTGGATTGGACATATTTATTTTTTTTCCTTGTTGAATTTATTAGTACTTTTTAGGTATACAGCACAGTTACATTCATCATTGGGATCTTGCACCTCTACATGACAGGTCTTGGTTCTCATTTTTCCCCATACCCCTGCCTTCCCTTCACTCCCCCACCCCTATTTACAAAAATTTTTTTCCATTTTTTTTGTTTTCTCACATTTTTTCTTTTCCCTTATTTCCTTTTCTCTACCCTTCCCACTTCCCCTACACCTTTAGCCCTTTTCTTCCTATATATACATATTTATTTTTGATGAAAGTGGGTATTACAGTAATTCTAGAATTGTGGGGACCTATATGCAAGCCATTATTATTTTCTTTAAAAAATTCTCTTTGTAAAAATGTAATGATTTAGAGCCAGGGATTTAGCTCAGTAGTTCCACTGCCTGGCTCTGAAGTGCAAGTTCCTGAGTTCGATTCCCAGTACCAACCAGTACCAAAAAAAAAAAAGTAATGACTCACTTTATGCTAAGTATTAACCATGCCTTTAATTTTTAATTCAGATTGTCCAGTTCTTTTGTGACTATTATTACATCATCAATGGATATACCTCATTATTGATCTTACTGAATTTATCTGAAATCATTTCTGTATGAAGTCAAGTACAGATGATTGTTGTCATTTAAGTCATTAAATCATTTACTTTCTCCTCCCCCCAAAATGAAGTATTGCAGTGATGAGTAATGAGAAGCTACAAGTGATCCTCATGTAATATACTCATGTTACCGACCTACACTTAGTTAAGGTAAATGATGCCACTCAAGTTTGAGAAAATGGATTCAAGTCTATGCAGATCATTTTAGAGCTGCAGACCATGTCCCTTTTTATGGTAGGTTATAATACTCATCAAGTTCATCCTGGAGAAGTTTTGCCAAACATATATAATGGACTAAATTGGTTTCTGAGATTGAGTTTACGTTCACTATAAGAGTGCAGTGATTATTTTGGCAGGATTTCTTTTCCTGCAGACATTTTTAGGAAGTGATTGATAAGGTTATTTATGTGCACAGATGTGCTGCCCGGAAGAGCAGGAAAATCACAGAGACTATTTCAATATCATTAAAATCCTCTAAAATTGATTGAAATCAGTTATGTACTCATTAAAAGATGGAGAATTCTTTTATGCTTACAGATAAGAATGTCTCAAATGCCTCTAGTGTGCAGAAAGAGTTTAATTTCTGAGACAAAAACCTACTTTAATTCAATGATTTCAGACTCTATTCGCACCGTGCACTGTACTGTGACACTGAAGTCACCAGTTCAGTTTTTTATCTAAGTTCAAGATAAGTTACTGAAATCTGTGTAGTCTGTACAAGGTCCCTCTTATCCACCCCTCCTGTCTCTTCATAATGAAGCAAGATTGTTCTCTGAAAGGCTTATCAGTCCCTACTCTGTTCTTCCTTCTCCGTGATTACAAATTGATTGTTTGATGATTTGTACTCACTGTTCTGGGCATTAAAGTTCAGGTGACAGCTCTTTAATTACAAAGGCTTCTTTTTCCCTGTGATAAATAGACAGATAATCCAGTAACTCTTCCTCAAACTTTAGGAATTTATGTCCTTCACAACAATTCTTCAACCAGCCTGGAGCTGTTAAGTAACCTGGTAAAATTAATAAGCAACATCTTTCTACTTCATCTTGATTTAGTTAGTGTTCCTAAATGCTTCTTTCAGAATCCAATTGTTTCCTTAAGGTGATGCTTTTTTTCTACACTGTCATTGAATTTTGAAAAGTCAGATAAAATTAGAAAACCTTAGAACTGTATGAAATTTTGTACTTATTCTTATCAGTTTTCATTCCACCCAGGCAATGACATTTTTCCTAGGCATAATTTCTTTTAGCCTCAAATTTTTCCCTTTTACCAACAATATTCGGAAAGCTATTTCATTTTCAATATTTTTTGTTTTCTTCCTAATGCAGCTTTCAATTATACATTTCTTTTCTTTTTTTTAAAGCATGTAGCCTAGTTTCCCAGTGTTAGGAACTTTCTTTTAAAAGCCATCAGCTTTCCCAATTGTTCCAAACTGTTGCTTTTCCTGTGCAAAAGTAGTATGCTCTTCATGACTTATCCCACCGGTATTTCTTTTCTATTCTCCCTGTCTAGTCAGGATAGTGTGGATGAGCTCTGCCTTCCCAGTAATCATCACTGTGTTTGGACCTAGACTCTATTGCATTTGGTTCAAAAGTAGAGGTTGCTCAAAATAGGTGCTTTAGAGACTTATTCTTTCTCACTGTAGCAATGGATTATATAGAACTTAAAATTCTCACTGCAGAATAGCTTCAAATGAATTATTTTCTCCATGTAATTGTATATATAGATGTGCCAAACTCCCACTTTCATCTGGAGTCCTAGCAGAATGAACCCCTTTAAATCAGTTTCATTTTAACCCCTAAAACAGCATGACATCGACAATGTTTTTTGTTCATAAGTCATATATATCTTTCTATCTCCTGCTCGGCTGTAATTTATTTTAGAATAGAGGTGCTACATTATCTGTGATGCTGAAAATGATCAGTGACATTCAACATCTACGAGCACTTTCCT